ATCAGACAGTATCAACAATCCAGCTAAGAGCAGAGGCCAGTACTTCCTCATTCTCAAAGGATTGTTAGGACAGTGTCTCATTAGCAAAAAATGTAACATGTAATTTAAACATAATCATGACTTGTGCCCTAACCCTCACATCAGAGTGTTTCATTTTCCCATGTACTATTATTATTTGAAATATCCTCTTATTATACTCCAATTGAAAGAGATTTAGTTTGATGGACTCTTTGAAAAAGACAAATACCAAAAAATGCAAAGGTTCTAAAAAATCACAGTCATGTCAAATTATGTTATCAGTCCATATGGTCTGAGAAGGGGCTAACTTTAGCCTGATCTGTCCAGAGACTGCCGATCTTAGACAAAAACTAGGTGAGATACCATTAGATAACCTTGCAATCTTCAGGTTATGAAAGGTAAAATAAGCTAGATAGCTTACTCCTAGTGGTTATCCAGTGATTTTTTTAATGTTTTAATGAAGATCTGTACTCGGGTTGCAGTTGGAGTTGTTGGTTGGTTTGCCAAGCTCTCAAAGATGAAAGACCCCATACCCACAATAAGCAGGACAAATGTGATATACAAAATACCATGCAGCAACTGCGAGAAACACCACATAGGACAGATGGGCAGGAAACCTGCCACCAGGATACCTGAACACCGACTTGCAGCAAAACAGCACGACCAATTTTCCCTCGTTTCAATACACTCCAACATAGAAAGACATCAATTTGACTGAGACAAAGTTACGAGTACTAGGACAAACGAGACAAAGACAAGCACAAGAATTCCAGTAGGTCTAGTTTTCAACCGTCGATGCAATTAACAAATTAAAATAGACCCCATCTACATACAATTACAGTACAAAACCGGAAACAAGACTGCCAACCATGATAGACCGGACCATATAAATTCAGAGCGGGACAGAACAACAGCGCTTCAACGGAGGCTACACAGCACTGATGATGTCACCTAGAAGGGAGATGAAACATTTGCATGAAAACCAGTTAGCTCGGCAAACCAACCAACAACGCCAGTGATTCTTTTTAAAAGGTGTTTGTGTATTAACAATTAAAGGCAGAACTGAGTTTGTGCAGGTCTGTTTTACAGTATGGACACCAAATTGAAATTGAGGAATCTCTTTGCAGAATAAATGCATTCTGTCTGCAAGCAAGACCCTGAGCTTCTAGACACATTTTTAATTCTCCACTAAACAAAAAAAAAACTGCAAATGTTGGAAATCAGAAACAAAAACAGAAATTGCTGGAAAAGCTCAGCATGTCTGGCAGCACCTGTGGACAGAAAGCAGAGTTAATGTTTCAGGTCCGGTGACCCTTCCTCAGAAATGTTTTGTACCTTTATTTCTTCACTTTGCTCTCATGCTGACCTCTTTATCTAAGGCTTTCTGTGGTGTTCCACTGAAGCTCAATGTAGACTCGAGAAAGAGTCCCTCATCTTTCCATCATGCACTATACAACCTTCTAGACTCAATTACTTCAACAATTTCATACCTCGACTGAGTCCCTGTTTTATTTTCTTTTCCTTTCCTTTCCAGGGTTCAGTTTTAGACTTCTGTTCCTTTGTTATTGCTTTTGGGCAGTAGGCTTTCATAGTCCATTCACAGCTCTTCAACTGATATAAGAGACAACAAGGTGCAGGGCTGGATGAACACAGCAGGCCAAGCAGCATCATAGGAGCAGAGAGGCTTCTTCAACTGATATCTTTTGTTTCTTTGTCTATCTCATTAGCACTCCCTTTGGTTCTGCACCCTCAATTCATTTGTTGCTTAATCTCTTCAGTCTTCTATCTCGTTTCAAACCTTTCACTCTTGTTCTTTTCCCATCTCCCTTCCTTTCACTTTAAACCTATTCCAGTTCTAATGTTTCCCGGTTCCAACAAGAGGTAATTAATCTTAAATGTTAACTCTGTTTCTCTCACCATTGATACTATCTTACTGAAAACTTCCAACGTTTTCCATTTCATTTTAGATTTCCAGCATTGACAATATATTGCTTTTGTAATGGAATAATCATAGTTGCATTTTGCATCTTGTTCAAATGGTCTTTGTAATGGTCAGCACAGTGTAGGGTCTGATGAAGGGTCCGGACCCGAAACATTGACTTTCCTGCTCCTCTGATGCTGCCTGACCTGCTGTGTTCCTCCAGCTCCATACTTTGTTGACTCTGACTCCAGCATCTGCAGTTCTTGCTATCTCTGGCTTTTGTAATGGTACTCCTACAAAAGTTGTTTTTCCACTTGGTTTCACTTCATCATTTAAGATGTACTACTAAAACGCTGGGGTAAAGGTTGTTGCTGCAATTTAATAGAATACAGATTACCACTGGGAGCTTTACCCTGTCTACCATGAATATTTTGGGCCTATTGCTCATTATTTTTAACCAGTAACAAATATAACAATCACATACATTCATAATCACTGCAGAAATTGTATTTTGAATTTATTTCATATTTTTCGGCAATAATATCATCCAATACAGAATAAGACACCTCATCATGGTTAACTGTTATGGTTCATAGTTGAACCACCAGACCTGAAGGTCTTGGTTTCAATTCCTGTTCTGCTTGAACTAGGCAATTCCAGTTGAAGTGGAAGTTGGGATCCGAAAGCAAATTAATTCCAAAATGCCAATCCAATTACTAGTGAAAGTGAACCACTAAAACAACTCCCAATGTACTGCCGGATATTAAATTTATAAACAAACACTCTCAGGGACACTAAACGGATAAATGATTGTATTGAAAATTGTAAATCAATCACACGAGTATGGCAAGAGATGCCTTCCTAAGAATGGGTTAAATCCCATTTTGGGGAGAATGCAGCTTCATCTGTATTCAATTGTACTCTAACTGGGTTGAAAACACCTGAAACTGAATATGAAAAAGTATTCGATTTTAGATCATTTAAATCCTTATTTTGAATTGCACATACTTGCAGTTCCCTGTACCCACTTTTGGAGGCTGTTCAATTTAGTCACCAACGTGTTAATCCTTGTGGGCACAAAATATTTTTTATAATGCTCTTCCCTTTGAGTCATAAAGTTAAGGATTCGAGTCTCACACTAGGACTTCAGCACACAGTTCCAGGCTGACGCTCCGATATCGTGGAACTTTCCCTCCGATTGAGGCAAAGTTGCACTGTCAGGGTACAGTCTTTCCGTTGATGTGTTAAACTGATCCCTCAGCTACCTGCTTAGATTGATGCAAAACATCCCGTAACGCAGTTTTGGCAATCAGGGGAATTATGCCAAATGTGTTGATCAATATTTATTCCTGAACCAACTTCACAAAAACAGTGTGTGTATAATCAGATTGTTGGTTACAAATTAACTGGTTCCTTTCCCAAATGTGATTAAAGATCACAAATACCTCAATAGCTGTAAAATGTGTGGACATTTTCGATGATGGTGAAAAACCCTTTACAAATGCAAGTCTTTCATTTTTCAGAAAGTCAGTGTGTTTTTTTAATAAAGCATTTTTTGTGCATCGAAGTAGACGACACCTCACCCAACCATGTACTTAAGATCGTTCACTTGAAAGTGTGCTCCAGGTGAAATTTGCTCATTCTCAATTTCTTCTGGGGCGCCAGCACCTTTTTGGTTGTAGCGCTGCGCATCTGGTTTAGCTGCAGTATTTTCATACACTTTTTACAATACTTGATCGGCTTTCTCACCATGTTTAAGTGCGGTTCGTTACACTTATCAACTGGTTAGCTGCAGCTTGTCGAACACATATTACAGCCAGTTGCAACATTTAATGTCTGATATTTGATGAAATATTCTTGTATAACTTGTTACAGCGAAACAAAGTGCTTTTAAATGCATTTTCGGTGGACGATCACAGAATGCAAGTTCCCGTCGGCTTTCAAGGATTGATCACAGCTCCTCATTGTACAAAGCAAACACGTCATAGTTATCTGCTGCATTAAATAATTCCAGCCGCTATATGTGATGAATCACTGGAGAACATGTTCCTTGCAGATGTTTTCATCCTGACGATTGTAGAAATGCTGGTTTCATCGATTTTTCATTTCTATGTGTCAGCTTCACTACAACGGTAACTTGTGATCGACAGACAGCCAAAATAAGAAGCCGACCAATAGTCGTTTTAATGAAAACTTCGCCTCTGTCAAATATAACACGTTAAAAATGCAAATACATCTGAGCCTTGAACTTGTTGGCGCATATATATGTTCGCTGTGTGTATTGGCTGCTAACACTTAAAAAAAAGTTGTTACTCTCATTTTACAATTCAAAATTATCCCTTACGTTCTCTTCTGTATGAGCAGTACAAAAACACGCCGTTTTACAGTTCAAACAATGACTTGCAATCTTCGCGTTTCAATGTCCGATTTCAGTTAACAGACGTTTACTAATATTCTGCACATGGAGTTGTCAAGGAAATTAGAGATATAGAGGTTTTACAGCAGTAACGAGGCCCTTCGGCCCATCGTGAGATGAAATTGCACTCAATGTTTATATTGTCGACGTTGTAGATGTTCTTGTCCCACGATATTTCATGCATAATGTGTTAAACCACAACTGTCAGTTTCCACTTTTTTTTATCGGAAGGTTCCATGAAAACACTTCTAACGTGTTAAGCTTTGTAATTGCCTGACACCGATGTGCGACCCAGGTTACAAGATTCTCATGTTATTGTGTATGTGTTTTTCTTCAATGTTTACATTCTATGGAGTAATTAACCTGACGAACTCCTATTTAACTTGCCCAATATAGCTTCTTAGATGCCCGTTGCAAATCCTACCCTGTGTTCTCATTAATTGTGCCGGAAACTTTGGTGAACTGTTTTTTTCATTTCCTCACCACACCCCTTTATGAATATGAATGACCTTTTTGTCTGGCTTTGCGGACAGCCTCTTCTGCTCTTCTGTTGTTGGGCGGGGGGACAGACCGGGATGTTACCCAGAAGCCAAAAGCTTTGCGTGTTTTCCGCTGGTGTTTGACGCGTTGCAAGGGTTTCACAGCGTGCGCGGGTGCGCGCACACCGCACAGATAGGGCTCGTGCACGCGCCCCGAGAACATAACAGAGACAGAGCCTGTCTTTGTTTCGCTTGGAATCACCAACACGCTCAAAGTCAGCAACAAGCAGAGGCTGAAAACCTGGCACTGAATGAATAAGCGCAGAACCCGTTGGATGAAGCGGTAGCTCCCAAGGTGCCTGTGCCGAACCTGCAGTTGTGTGGGAAGGCAGGGGAGGGAGAGAGAGAGCGCTGCTAGAGGGAGCGCGCCCAGCGGGTAGGCGGCGACGTGCAAGCTCGAGCCCAAGCCTGAGCACGCGCGCCCCCTACTCCGGGCCGGTCGGCCGCGTGCTCCCGGGGCGGGGCGGAGTCTCGCTCTCGATGCGAGTGTGAGTCAGTGAGCGAGATAGTGAGAGAGAGAGAGCCCGGGCGGTTTCCTGTGTTTGTGTGGCTCAGGGAAGGAGGGAGAGCTGGGAGCTCGAGTTACTGCCACTTGATCATGGCATAAAGAAGAGGAGGAAGCAACTTCCCAAAGCTCGTATGCAATCCTAAATGCACGAATCTCACCCGACAAGGACAGTAAAGAAGAAAATATCAGACAAATTTAACGAAAATGGCGAACGACTCTCCTGCTAAAAGTCTGGTGGAGATAGATCTCTCCTCTTTGCGGGTGAGTGTACGCTTGGTTTTGAAGGAGAGAAGAAAAACAGTTTATAGAAAGACAATGTGAACTCTCTAGACGCAAACGGATACGATTGTTCAATAGCATTCGCACAGAAAAGTGAATTCATTTTGTTCAAATCAGTTAGTTGTCAGGTTTTTTTGTAGTTAGGTTTTGATGGGAAGAACAGGGGTAGTTGAGAGCTTTCTTTGTTTGTGCATGTATTGGCATGTGCCTGGAAATAGGGCGCAACAGCTGCATTTCACCATGATCCGGCTAGATCAGATTTGGGATTTACAATATAATTACATTTTTTAAAAAAATTTCTTTTCAGGACCCAGCGGGCATATTTGAATTGGTTGAAGTGGTCGGAAACGGTACATATGGGCAAGTGTACAAGGTTTGTGTAATTTCTTGAATTTCTATGTCCCATAACAAAGCTTATCCCCTATGTGTGTAACCACATTTATTCCAACAGAATCAAATTTTATAAATGGTGTACTCTAGATCCTGTTTCTTCAATGTTGCAGTGTTAAGGATTGATTAGGTTTTAGCTGGCAATGACTCCGACTTCAGGGTGATAAAGCTACAGGCGAACACACGCACAAAACAGGAGAAGCTCAAAATGATTTTGAGCCGAATTTGAAGTGTGAAATTCTTAAATCCTGTCACAACTGGGTTGAGATGTTGGTTGCACGTTAATTTGAAGAGAACTCTCAGACCAGTGTCCGATCAACATATTCATAAGGAATTCTGAATTCAGGCATCACTCAAGTGGAGAGGTCCCAGACAAGAGGAAATTAGCTTCATTTCTTTTTGCTTTCCCAGTGTGGTACCTGATGTGGTTAAGTTCAGTCATCTTTTATCCCGTTAATTCCTCCAAACAACAACGGTTCACACTACATCCTCTGCATGCTTATGTTGATCGGGGCGTACCAGCCAGCTGGATCACTTGAAACGAGAAAGCCTTTGTTGATCATCCATGCTTGCGCCAATTACTTCACTCTATTGGGCCACTGCCACGACAGCTCAAGCCATAAGGAGAGTGGGGTGCACTGAATATTTTTAATGTTTGCCTGTATACTTGCATATTTTATGGAAATAACATAATTTAGACTTTTTAAACCATTCAATCAATATCACATAATGTAAAATTCACAGAAAATGAGAATAAGGAAGGGAAGTAAAGGAATGAGGGGGTTATTAAAGCTTGTTATTTAATGTTAATCAGATTCACGGTGCCCAAACTTAATGCCAAATCTGATGTGAAAAGATTATTGCATTGACCTGTTTAAGTGAAAAGGCGGCTTTGTTTTGTTTTTTTGTGCCCAACAGTTTTTTTTGTTTGTAACTTAAAAGGTTTTATTTTAGTTGTATTGGATGTCAAGGCAACTTTTGGTATTCATTTCTATTCAGAAGTGTACATGGCAGACATCCTCGATGAATTTTAAGCAGTTTTTTTTTTACCAATTCCAAGAAGATTTTTCATTTATTGGCTTTATGCTGATTGTTCAGAAAAAACGATTGGGACGATTCCTCAAGGAAAACATTACTTTGCATACCTAAAGTGGCGTGTTGCATCGCAACTATTATGTTTTAATTTCTTCATGTCTTTTGCAACACATTTTATATAACTTCAAATTTTTGGCTTGATTGTGACAGACACAAAGCAAATGTCTGCAAGTACGTTTTGCAGTATCTTGATGTTTAAATATGCTACAAGTTACAGGTGATCAATGGAATTTGTAGTGCTCATCAAAAGCTAAAATGATACATGACACGCCCTGTGTATTATGCTAAGTTAATGTGCAAGCCAAATTTTAGAAGTGCTGCGATGATTAACAGATGCCTAATAAATAATAGTTATGGTTCACCCTATGTTTTTCTCATGACAAGCTGATTTCACTTCAACTCATTTTGTTTTCTCCCAATCCATGTAAATGTTTATTGAGACTTTGATTGAGTACAGTGATTGAACTTCTAAGCTTTGTCTTTTAAATATGTCCCTAATTTTCTTTTACTTCTGAAGTAATTGACTTCCAGTATCTGGTTTCACGGGCGATGACTGACTGCCCCATAATACTTCAAATTTAAACCTGTCAATAGTCATTGTTATTATGAAGGCTATCTCAGCAGAATCTGACCTCAGTCCTCACCTTTTACCATGTGTACTTTGAAGAGGGCATCACTGAAGAGGAGCAGTATCAACAGCACTGGTTGGTTTTCTAACTTCTTTGCGCAGAGTTGGTGGATTCAACTATAGAATCAAGGCCTATTTGAGGCTGGAAATTGGAATTTGAAACCATATTCATCACTGTGCCACACCGGACAGTCTCTTTTTATTTGTCCAACTTGGACAATTGCTTCACGTATTAAATTTATGCTGACAATGCCTAGGAATGACCAACTTCGACTGGAAAAAATATTCCCTTGGCTGCTGTTGTGTTGGATGCAGGAAGATATGTTCAGTACAAAAGTGCATGAGAGTTTTGTACCATAGATTCCAAGCATCCAATTTAAAACCTTTTTAAAAATTGCTCCCATTTTTAAACTTTCTGCAGCTCATCAGTGTATTGTTTATCATTAGCACAATAGCATTTTGAGCATAGTGTTTTTTTACCAGTGCCTGTCCAAATTAAAGATAATTTTTCTGGTTTTTTCAATTAAAATGTCTTTTATTATGGGACCGGTGAGAAGAATTTTGAGCCTTATTTTTGTTTAAACTTGATGCTCCTTATAACATTTAATTTTAATTGACAGTTGTATATTTGGTAGACAATGAAAAACACAATGTAATGTATCTTGTTTTACTTCAGCTACCTATAATTTTCAGTTAGTAAATCAGCATTGTATATGGTTGCAGCTTATGTTGTGGAGTATTGAAAAGGGGCATAAATGATAATTGAGAACAGTATTCTGCTACCCGTGAAAGGGTGTGACAGATACTCATTCAAATTTTTTTAACCAATATTCTCAGTCATTACATAATGTTATAATATTTAGAAAATGCTCCAATTTTAATTTGTAAGACATGCAATTATATTTGTATTCAATGTATCTATTTTCAAGTTTCAAACAAGCGTAGTACAAATAAAGTCAGCTTCAAAGAATAGAGGGTTACTTCAGTCGTCAGACTTAATGCTACCAGTTTAACTTGTTTCTATGTACTAACTGCTATGAGCATGGCATGAAGCAATTCAGTTTCCAATGTAATAAATGTTTATTGTTAAAAGTTAGGTGTTTAAGCAAGTTAAATAAATAATACTTGGACTAAAGAAAAAAGTCAAGTTATAGATGGAATGTGATGTCAGAAATGTTCTTACTATTGCTTGGTCCTTTCATTATACACAGACTTCATAAATATATAAATAACCATTGATGTGTTGGGGCATCCAATGGATAGTCAAAACTAAGTGTAGTTTTAAAACAAAGTTGGTTTACAGAGCATGGGATTATTAGACTAGGACACAGACACTATTCAGTCACTGTTTTAAATTTATGCAGTTTCTTTATTTTTACATTTCTTTTAGCAAAAGTTATGTCACCTTAAAGAGAAAAATAAGGTTGAGCTATAGGGAGAGGCTGAATAGGCTGGGGTTGTTTTTCCTGGAGTGTCAGAGGCTGAGGGGTTACCTTTATAGAGGTTTATAAAATCATGAGGGGCATGGTTAGGCTAAATAGGCGAGGTCTTTTCCCCAGGGTGGGGGAGTCCAAAACTAGACAGCATAGGTTTAAGGTGAGAGGTGAAAGATACAAAAGGGATCTAAGGGGCAACTTTTTCACGCAGAGCGTGGTGCATATATGGAATTGGCTACCAGAAGAAGTGTTGGAGGCAGGTATGATTACAACGTTTAAAAGGCATCTGGATGGGCATATGAATAGAAAAGGGTTTTGAGGGATATGAGCCAAATGCTGGCAAATGGGACTAGATATACATAGGATATCAGGTTGGCATGGACGAGTTGGATTGAACGGTCTGTTTCCGTGCTGTATATCGCTATGATTCTATAACTGCAACATAGGGGTATTTTTACAGAATAGGCAAAATGAACTAGCAAATGTGACATTGAGATGCTTCAGACAGAATGGTTTAATTGCAAGTTTATGAAGGTAATATCCATTGTAAATGTGGACATTGTGCACGTTGATGGAAAAGTGTGATGAATACATAACAATAGGAAATGAACAGACGTATAATATGGGTAATTAAAAATGGGTAATTAAAACATAGATATGATGAGCAATACAACATGAGACACAAACAGAAAGGCCATTTTGCTATTTGATACATTGATGTACTTCAATTTCCTTTACCCATTTTGCCTTGATACATGTGCCGAGCAAAAACATAACAATTGCAGTCATAAAAATTTTAATTGACCCAGCATACATAGTATTTTAGGGGATCCAATTCTAGATTTTCTATTATCTTTTGAGTGGAAACAAGTCAGCAGATTTGCTGCAGGTATGATTTTATACTATACAGATGCCGTACATTAGTGCTACAGATTTACAATGATCAAATAAGTTAATTTCCATTTTTACTATTGGATGCTAGTACAAGATTTTAATGGTGCGTTTTTTAGGATTCAGTTTCACAACTATATCTATCATTGTACCAAAAAAAGGTGGGCTCAAGTGGTGCAGTGGTAGTATCCCTTGCTCTGAGCCAGGAGCCCTGGGTTCAAGTCCCATCTGCTCCAGAGGTTTGTAATAACATCTCTGAACAGGTTGATTACAAAATAGTTCTTCTAGATGGGCAAAAACTGCCTGTTTGCTGCCTTCGTTCTCACTATCCAAGGCTCCAGGCACACCGTTCACGTGAAGCAGTGATTTGCCTATACTCCATCAATCTCATCTATTTTTGCTGCTCACAATGTGGTCCCCTCTACATCGGGAAGACAAAACACAGACTGGGCAACCATTTTACAGAACATATACATTCCGTCTGAAAAGCTGACCACGAGCTTCCAGTTGCTTGCCACTTCAATACACAACAGTGTTCTCTGGCCAACATTTCTGCCTTGGACCTGCTGTAGTGCTCCAGCGAGGCTCTGGAGGAAAGAAGAACAGCATTTTTTTTTCACTTGGGGATGCTGCAGCCTTCAGGATTCAATGTTGAGTTCAATAATTTTAGAACTTGAGGTTCATCTTCTACGTATATTGTCCAACCTCACACCACAGGCCCTATCATGACATGGGCTGTTTTCATCATAGCCAACACATTTTCACGTGCTTATCGTCCCCATTATTATCTTATCTTTTTCTCTGGCATTTTATGGTTCATTCTTTTGTCTACCTAACTGTTGTTCATGCTCTCGCTCTCTTTGTCTGTCTCCACAAACCCCCCCCACTCCAGGCCTCAAAGTACTACCACCGCCACCACTCCTCCCGGACTGTCTTCTAAAGAAGGGTTGCTGAACTCAAAAACATTAACTCTGGTTTCTCTCCATAGATGCTGCCAGACCTGCTGTGTCTCTCCAGCAGGTTCTGTTTTTCTTTATTTTATATAGTTGTACGTACTGGGAGAGAAATGGAGATTAGGTGTACTTGGGGGCAGTGTTGTTTGAGACCTCGTGTATGGTAGAACTAAGGGGTCTGTATTGGAGTGTAGCTGCTATGGCAGCTGGGAGACAGGAGAAAATCTTTCAACTTGTGATCACTGTATATGGGGAAACCTAATCTTTGGATGCAGCTAAGAGTTGCACATGAAGTGCAACCCTGTATGCTCGCTCCCACCAGTTTTACTTCTGCCTCTAGCATGATCTGTCTCTGCCCCATCTCTGCATATCTGCTGAAACTTTCACCCAGGCTTTTGTTACTTGCCAGTTCTGACTAATCAGCGCTTATGGCCATTTGTCTACCTTGTGTAAAGCTGAACTTTTCCCAAGTCTGTTGCCTGTTTCCTGACTCTCACCAAGTCTTGTGAAATCATCAACCTTTGTACAAGATGCCCTTCATTGTTCAGTAGTGTTGTGATTTTTTTTTTTAAAATAGAGATTGTGTACAGATTCTTCCTTGGTCTTCTCCCAATTCTGTAATCTCTAGCATTTCTAACAATGTCCCGAGAACACTGATCCTCCAATTCTGTTTCTTTAGTCTTGCTTTTGGCTACCTTGCCTTCAGTAGTTCACATCATAAGATCTTTCCTTAAGCTTCTTTTCCTGTACACCTCTTGTTCATTAAGACATCCCTTAAAACCAGCCACTTATACCAAGCTTTTGGTCATCTCTACTATTAACTGCTTATGAAATTTGATGTCCAGTATTGTTTTATAATGCCTCTGAAGCCTCCTGGAATGTTTCACTATGTTGTAATGCTATATAAATGCAAGTCATTGAAATCATGTTCCTCGTGTGCAAAACAATTTGCAAGACTATGGCCCAGAATGTGTTGGGTGCTAACTTTATAGTTTAAAGTGACCTGAATCTGGTCATTTGATCTCAAACTGACTTTTTTTAAAAAAAAAGTCATAGGCCTGGGAATAAATTCAGGGCCCCAGTTTAAGATGTGGTATGTGTGATCTATCTAGTTAGTGTGTGTCAGTTTACAGAAGCAAAGAGCCATTTTTATTACTTAATATAATTTTTAGTTCACTTGGGAGACTAACAGTTTTGGAGCTGTGCATTCTTATGTGGCAGTTGTAAACAAAACTGCAGAAACATTTTGAGTGGGGGAATAATAGAAACATTTTATAGGATTTTTGGAAGTGTCTAAGTAATTAAGGTGCTGAAATAGTGATGATGTATGTAATTTATTTTCAAGATATTGTAGCATTGTATAACTTTAATAGTTCACTCCAACCTCATTATGTCTCTAATATGCTACTTGGCAGTTTTTCATGCATTTTGAGCTGCATATGATATTGGATTTTTGAAGTACAAAATGATTCAAGCAGCCTGAGGTATTTTTATTGTAAAACATGAACAAAGAGTGCAAGCTGATACAATATGGCAACAGTATTTACAATAAGGTAAATTTTTTTATTCCCTCAATTTGAGTAGAAATGATGGTCAAGTTCAAAAATGGAGAACTGACTTCCCATTTTATGCCAAATCCTAAATGGCTGCTTTTGTTTGCTCGAAACCTGAAGGGCAAACAATTATCTGGGTGTAAATGAGGAATGGTAGCAATTTTCACCGTGTCCTTGAGCTTAGAGTTAGTCTCGCTATGTCTTGTAGGAGTGTATTTTTATCTGTACTAACCACAATATTACATTGGAAATCTTTGTTTCTGCTTTTTGTTTGTAGAAATGCAGCCGATACCACTAGTGTTGATATTGTATTGTTCCTCTATGGGAGACATGGCACCGAAACTATAAACAGGAGACCAATATGGTCAAATGTAATACTTTTTAAAGATGTGAGTGTGAAATGTTGCCACAAATCATTTCTGTTCATTCCAGTGTCTATAAGCATTTTAATATCACTTTAAATCATATTAAACTCAAAGCTAGCATTACACACACAAAAACTATATATACAAATATTAGTTGTAACACTGGAAAAATCTGAAACGTAATGTTCTAAATTCTTAGGCCATTTTAAAACTCCTGTAGTTTATGTTGATCTACATAGGCTACATGTCATGTATTGTGAACGGAACAATGGGGTTCCTGCTCAACAAAAGTAAAAGTGTGACTGAGCAGTGTGAAAATCTATTGTTTTAATGGGTTTTCATAATACAGTACAGTGCAAGAGTGAGAATGCAACGTATAAATCCAGCTCAGTTGGAGAGCTTTTAAGGTGAGGACACTTTCAAAAATAGGCCATACAAAATTGCGGTGGCTCAGGATCGATTCCATCCTCGGGTGATTGTCTGTGTGGAGTTTGCACATTCTCTCCATGTCTACATGGGTTTCCATTGGGTGCTCCCGTTTCCTCCCACAGTCCAAAGGCATCTAAGTTAGGTAGATTGGCCATGCTAAATTTCCCGTAGTGTTGAGGGGTGTGTAGGCTAGGTGGATTAGCCGTGGGAAATGCAAGGTTACAGGATAGGGTAGGGGGATGGGTCTGCGTGGGATGCTGTTCGGAGTGTTGGCGTAGACTTGGTGGGCTGAATGGCCTGTTCCCACATGGGGATACTATAAATAAAAAAAATTAATATGATACATATATAAATCGGTAAGTATTATTTTACT